CTCACTGACCCTGGGCCTGGCTGCACCTCCCCTGGGTCCACCAGGGATCCCGGCGGGGATGTCCCCATTCCTGCTCAGAAAAATGGAAGCAAAAAATTTGTTAAAGAGGTTAGCTTTGTCGTCTGGTGCAACCACCAAATTTCCAAATGTGTCATGCAGGGGCCCCATGTTACCTGGTACCTTCTTTTTCATAGTTTCTAGGGTTGGAAGGGACCTGAGCAGATCATCTAGTCCGACCCCCTGCCATGGCAGGAAGAGCACTGGGGTCAAATGACCCCAGTAAGGTGGTCATCCAACCTCCTCTTAAAGACCCCCAGGGTGGGAGCCTGCACACCTCACTCACTTTTACTTCCTATGTATTTAAAAAAGGACTTATCTTTGATCCTGGTTGCTAGTACCAGTTCTGTCTCTGCCTTGGCCTTCCTAACAGCCTCCCTACAGTCCTGAGCAATGGAGGTATAATCCTCCTTGGTGATGGCCTCCCCACTTCCATTGGGTATACGTCTCCTTTTTAGCTGTGAGATGTTCCTGGATGCCTTTGGTGAGCCATTGGGGCTTTTGAGCACTCTTGCCCCCTTTGATCCACATTGGGACTGTTAACCCTTGGGCTTGGAGGATCATCTCCTTAAGGAACGACCACTCTTCTTGGACTCCTAACTCCCCTCCCCTCCAGGATCCCAGTGCCTCCCTGACTAATCTCCTTATTGAAATCCACCCCCCTGAAGTTCAAGGCTGCTGCCTTGCTGCAGACCTTTGCCACCCTGCACTGGATGGTGAATTCCAATAGGCAATTATCGCTATCGCCCAGGTGGTTGAGCACCCGCAGTCCCGTCACCAGGTCGCTTGTGGCCAGGACCAGGTCTAATAAGGCATTTCCCCTGGTGGGACTGTACACCTCCTGGGTTAGATGGAGGTCCTGTAACATGGCTAGAAACCTACATAAGCAGTCTGGCTGACTGCTTTTCCCAGCAAGTGTCTGGATAGTTTACATCACCCATTATGACCACTTCCTTTGACTTAACTGCCTCTGAGAGCTGACCTGAGAATTCCCAGTCCAGCTCTTCCCCCTAGTTGGGTGGTCTGTAGTAGATCCCCACCGTTAAGTCCCTTTCCCCCTGACCCCCTTGTATTCTGACCCAGAGCACTTCAATCTGCCCCTCCTCTGACCCAGTGCTGTTTGTTGAGGATGCTCTTTGACGTAGAGCGCCACACCCCAATCTTTCCTCCCCATTTTATCCTGCCTGTACAGCCTATAGCCCTTGATGTTTACCACCCAATCATGCATTGAATCCCACCAAGTGTCAACGAGCCCCACTATGTCTAGGTTTGTGTTAGCTAGCAGGAGGGCAAGTTCCTCATGGAATCCATCATCAAGAAGAGCCCAAACCCGAGACAGATGAAAGAACAGCAGACAGGGCAGATCTTGGGTAAAACAGAGCGGATGGCTGTGGCCATCCTTTAATAGTAAAATGCAAAAGGTCCTGTTGGTAGGTTCTTAACACATTTTCAGGGTCTCAGCCCGTACCACACAAGCATGAATGACACGTGCCCCCAGCAGCTGATAGGGCATGGCAGCACTGGTGGCAGCAGGAGCGTGGCGGTGACAGTAAGCAGGGGAGCTCCCACAGATGCCACTGGCGCTGTCTGCAGTGGTGGGGGTGTTGGTAACCACCCGCAGATGCCACCAGCGGTGTCAGTGGCACCTTTTTGTAGGTGGTGCGCTGCCACGGTCAGGGGGTGCATGTGCATGTGCATCCGCGTACACACCCTACCCAGTGCCCCCAGACGCAAGGCTGCAAGGTAAAGGTAGATATTTGTAAGGTCGTTTGAGCCGCTTCCAAGACACACTCTCAACTGGCCATCAGTGGTGTACATCAGTGGTGTACATGGGATGCCTTGCACACAGAAGAAAAGGACTAAGGGTTGTTTGTAAGTTTCTGGCTTTATGATAGCCTGTCCATACATTGCATCTTTCACAACTCTAAGTAGAATCCCGCATATCAATCAATATGCCTGTCTGCATATTTGCATGCAATAAATCTGTCTGCTTTATGTACACTTCAGGAGCTTCCATGCAGCATTTATTTGGGTGGCTTCATGGGCCCAGGTAGCTGTTTACTGCCACTGAGGTAGCATTAGAGAGACAGAGAGGGATATTTTTTATGAGATCAGGCTACTGAAGACATTTGCACTTCTACAGACAGTCCTAACATTGGAACGTGTCCGTTATCTTTGTGATAAAATATTATTTGCAAATGACAGCAGGGATATGCACTTCTACATGCTCCTTGGGACAATTATAGCCCAATTTGTAAAGCAACATGGTTACCTCTATACCACTACAGAGTAATTTTCTCTCCATAGCTGGAATAATGAGGTAGGTCAAAATACCTCAAAACACATAGACATAGGTCACAAAGTACTAACAGCCTTGTCTATTCTGGGCTCTCAGGATATTCTCTAAGTATCCTAAATTCTGCCTCCCTGAAATATATTCAACACAGATTATTTTTGTCAGCCTCAGCAAATACTTTGGCTTCATCCTAAATATTTACCTTTTTTGAGTAACGATGGAGCTGGTGAATTGTTCAACTCGTGAATCTCATTATTTGTGAAAAAATCTGTTCCACCCAATATTTTTCTGAGGCATTTGCTTTTGTAGGCATTTAGCTGCTTGCTTATAACTTTGGTGGATTTTCATCTTTTGCAAGCCTATATTAAACTAGAAATAACATTTAATTTTATATGATGGGGTTTAACTGGGTTTTTATCTTACAGATTTTGATGACTAACTCTAAGCACATATGTACAGCTACCATCCTACCAGTTTATGACATCATTTCTGCTGACCTGAGTGCTAACTTGTGCTGTTGTGTCTCTGGCTGGGGAAGCCTGTAATTCAGGGTACCTAAAAGGCATGATGCAAAGGAGCCTACAGCCAGGGAGTTTAGAGTAAGGCAAGCATCTGGATACATGGAGCATTAGCAGGGGTAGAAAGGGAACCATATGTGATGTTTGGTCCCTGCTAGTGGGCCAAACATCACACGACCTCACAATGATTTGCAAAAGGCAGATAAGGAAACTGAAGTTCAAGATAATATAGGAAAACTATGTCCAAGTTAGAAAGAGAACTCTGAGTTCCTGATTTACAGTCCTCTATGTCATCCTTTGGATTAGGCTGCCTACAATTTACATGCATTAGACACACTGGACAATTAACTTTTTTGCTCTCATATCAGGGCTCTGACTCAGTGCCCTCAATAATGCTGATTCCTGTAGCACCACTGATAATGATTTTTGTCTAAGCACTGTATTACAGCTGCACTGCCAACTAAGATAGTCTCTCAGTACTTGGAGAAAAAAATCTATTAATTCAGCACATAGAAACTATATTAGAATACTTCTGAAAACAATGCGATTGTACTAGGATTATGGCTAGCAGGATTAAGTTGTTAAGTATTAAAAACAAACAGGAATGTTCAATAAATTTTACTTTCATTCAGTCACATATCTGCATTAAAATGTGAATCAAGCTGGTGATCAAAATGCTTTATTAAAACTTCGCTTCTGACCTCTGATTTTAAATCTATCATTTTTGTAGAAGTTATTGCCTTGTCTCCCGTTCTTGAAATTGGAGAACCCTTGGCCTGCCTCACGTGGTGTTTCTTCTAGCTCAGGTAACTCAGTGGCTATAGCCAGCTGCCAGCGCCTTGAATCTTGCCATTTTTCCTGAAAAAAAAAGAAAAAAAAAAGGAGTTTCTTGTGTTCATTCAAACAAAACAGAAGATGTACCTGCCTCAACTCACATGTCTGTTTGCACAGAACCTTACAAATCTTGTGAAAAACTGCAAGAATACTTTTTCTCAGATGGGTTGTTAGTCACATGGCAAGGCAGGGTAGAATGTTCATCTGACTATGTAAGCTGTAGTCTACAATAACTCATTCTCCCCCGTCCCTTCCCCAAAGTTGAAAACCCCTTTAAAAAGACATTTCAAAATAAATCCCACTCAGCAAATTACTTAATCAGACCCCTTTTATGAGAAAGCCGTACCTTATTTTGCAAACCCTTAAAATTCAAAAGCTTGACAAAATACAAGCAATAATCACAAGCAGCAGAAATGGGGAGTCAGATACTATTACTACTCTCAGTCAAATGAGTTGGTGGCAGTTAGAAGGCCAAGGCCTCCACAAAAACTAATACACGATTTTGTTAAACAAAAAAAAGGATGATGTTTATGGTAAGGGCAACAGATGGACAAGCAAGAGTTAGGACCAAAGAAACGCATTTAGAGAGGGACAGATGCAATACTGTACTCCGCAATGAATGGGCAGGGGTCCTTCTGCACAGAAGTTTTTAGTGAAAAAGCCTTTTACTATCAACTGTACAATCTCTCAATTGCCAGCTACAATATGCAGCCTAAGAGTATTAGAAACATGTTAAAGGCCCCCTAGCAACTCAAACATACCTGTATGTGACTCAATTCAGCTACAGGGACATCAAAGCACACACCCTAAATGCAAGAAGAGAATCATTTACTCTTCTACTGGCATTCAGAAAGAGATTTTTGTAAAATTAACTTCACAGAATAGACGTTTGAAACATTATTTATTAATTCCAGGTGAACCTAAATGCAACACAGCAGCCAGGAGTTAGCAGCTGCTGTATGCCTGTTCCACTTGTACCCTTCCCTTTTTAATATACCGAGGGACATGTAACAATTTCAGATTTGCAGAAGTAAATGCTTGGTGCTGACAAAATGCTTATTAATTGGGGATTCTAGTCTTCTGCAATTTCTCTCTCAATGTTTTTGATACAAATAGCAGCATATTTATATCAAGAATACAAGACTGCACTGATGAATACTGAATACCTAGCAAACAAGAATGGACAACAATGGGACAGAATTGATTTAAATCTAGATGTAACATGATAGAGAATTGTAATAAACAGAAAACTACCTTCTTTGTCATTGAGTTCCATTGGAAACATAAACATCTTTTACCAACTTTGAGGCTCTTATTTTAAAGCCAAAGCCATCATATCAAGCTTCAATGGAATTAAAGAAAATGCATTTAAATTGTCCATTTACACCAACCAAAAAATTAAAAATCCCATGCACCAAAAAAGGCAATCCATTTTACCGTCTTTCCCTTGAGAAAACGCATTCTGAATACTTTATTATCTATTTCTTCACCAAGCTGTTCTTTTAGTCCTCGCCAAGCATAGCCAATGCTGTGCATTTCTATTGAGCATTTTAATGTCATTGTCACGTATCCCTTTAAAAAAATAAAGAAACAAACAGTAAAATACCTTTACAATGAGAAGCTAAACTTGTCTGAGGCAAACTATATCTAATCTGTCCAATGAGTCATACCTGCTGTATACCTCTTTGAAACTGTATGGTAATATTGGAGGCTTTGCAGTTCTGCTAATAAAAGGACTTCCTGAAAACCTCCAGAAGCTGAGGGCGGTCATCTATCTAAAGCCCCAGGAAAATGTTACACTTAATCTGTTAATCATGTTTTAAGTAGTAACCTGGCCATATGTTCAGGGAATTAGTGGTGCCACAAAAAGGGAAGCCAGCCAAAAACAAGTATTACACGCTTTTTGTACAGTTTCCATTTTTAGGCTGGTTTCCATCAGGCTTTGAACAGGTGGCAGTGCTAGGATTGCACCAGGGTCTCCAGCTAGGTCTGGCGTGGTCCCGGCCAACCATGAGCCGATATCCTGGTAAGGCCCTTATCCTGCTGACAAGCAGCAGATAGTCAGCTGACTGAAAGCTGGATGCCTGACAATTTGCCAAGTAGGGGGGGATTCTGCGATCATGATCACCATAGATCATGATCCCAGGCTCCCCCTGCACTGGCAAGTAGTATATGATTGGTATCTGATAACTGTCCCCCAAAATAGTGCATCCAGCCATGCATGGCACAGTTGTTGGGATTGGGGAATCGGGTTTCACTGTGCCTTTAAATTAACATCTGTCAGCGGCCTATTGACAGAATGCAAACTGTTGTCGACTGAGGTTTTTGGGGTGGTTTATTTTTTTTAAAGGGTATTTTGTTGGAAGCGAAGGAACATTGGAAGGTGGCACATACGTTGGAAAGTGGCACATATATCCCCACACAAAGATTTCAACAAATAAATGAAACTTTGCATAGGTCATTATACTGAAAGCTGCCCACAGAGTGAAATACACTGTACTGATTCCAAAACAGATTACTAGGGGTGCACCGATAGAGATTTTGGGGGCCAATACCAATAGCAGATTTTTAAGGCAGCATGCTGGCCTATATGGATCCAATTTCCAATACAGCATGGAGACCTGCCTGCAACTGGTAAGTCTGTTGTGGTGGAAGGGGAGTGGGGAGGAAAGGAGTGTGAGGGGCAGATCAAGGCTCCTATGGTGAGGGAGGAGTGGGGCTGGGGCTGCCCAACTGGGGTGGGACACAGGATGGAGCCACAGCTCACTGGGAAGACATGGGGGGGTGCCTCATGCTGCTGTGCACAGCCTGGAAGGGCAGGGGGGGCATATAGTCCTGAATCTGCATGGGGCACAGGCAGAGTGGGCTGCTGCTGCAGGCTGGGGGTGCAGCTGTGCTGGACACTTCCCAGCAGGGGCTGGGCCAGGCTGTGTTCAGGGCGGAAGGTGGCGGCACTGGGACCGGGGCTGGGGGGGGGCGCTGCATCAACCCCAAAATTCACCATAGCCCCCTCTCCTAGTGCTGCTGCCACCTGCCCTGACAACAACTCCCCTCCCCACCCCCAATGCACCAGGAAGAACCTGGCACAGCCCCAGCTGCAGTCCACCCCGCTGGCACCCCACGCAGACCCAGAGGCACTCCCCACATGCCCTCCCAGGGTGTGTGCGGCAACGGGAGCTGCCACTGCCCCCAGATGAGCCGCAGCTCCACCCTACACCCTGTCCCAGCTGGGCAGCACCTGCCCCAGCTCCACTCCCTCCCTCACCATGGGGGCCTTGATCTCCCCCATCATGCTCCTTCTCTCCCATTTTCCCTTCCACCACAACAGACTTACCAGCTGCCGGCTCCAAGCTGCCGGGCTGTCCTTTTCACTGCCTGCATGCTGCGCTGCAACTGCGCATATGCATGCACATTTATCAGCCAAATTAAATCACCCACTTCAGACCAATTTCTGATACACTCGATTTTCTTTATACTGGTGCTGATCCAACATCGGACTGATGTATTGGTGCACCTCTACAGATTACCATCCAACAATAAACTGGGGAAGGTTTTCCCTGGAATCAGATACCTCCACTCACTTTTTCCTTTCCTTAAGAGATGCTGATATTTAGCACATTTTATTAGGAGACAGACCAAGTCTGCAACAAATAGAACCCCACTAGCATAAGAAACTTCAATATAATTTCCATGACACTATTACAGTTTTCTATAGTATTGGATGGAAAGTTGGGAATAGCTATTAAAAGCAATGGAGGATGCTCCGTTTGGACTGGGTTAACAGCTTGGCAGTACCTAGTTAAGGGGAACAGTGATAACCTCTATAGAAGGTAGAGCAGATACACACCTTACAGGCTAAGACAGACATACATACAGCACAAACTTTTGTGCACTCAAGTTTACTTCATCAGATCTCTATACCCAAATAGTGCCAGAGAACGTTGGTTTGGGCCCATTTCAGACAGAGAGAGGCAAAGGGTGCTAGCCCTTGTGAAACTTATTAATATACATCACACTGCTTAACATTTACTACACAAACCCTCTCTAGCTGTTATGAGGATTTGTTTGTACAGTTTTTTGAACACAGAAGTACTATGTAACGTTATTTACCACATCCGAGGAGAGCAAGGATCGCTGTTCAATGGAAGTAGCCCCAGAGATGTGAGCTAATGCTGCAGCCAAGGCCCTGACTGCCCCCTTTTCCTCTATGAGCTTCTCAGCTGACTGCGTAAAATAGTCGATGGCAGAAGGAGGAACAGAATCCAAAAACCTGAGTGTTGACAGCAAAACCATGACAGGTCAATACACAAAAGACTAACATTAGGAGATTCAATTGTTCACGAGATATTTCATGAACTTTAGAGACTAATTTAAGAATTAAGAGCAAGATTTTCAGAGGTGTCTAGTTATTGTCAGTGCTTCACTTATAGGCAGCCAACTCAGGCATGCTGACAAAAATGCCAAATATCCACGTTCTGATAATGAGGTTTGTCACAAGCACCCGAGCTACTTTTAAAATATTAAGCAATTTGTCCGAGTAAAAACTTGCTCAGAGCTTAGAAGTAGTGCCATTGGCACTAGGAAGCCTTTGCCTTGCAATTCTGAGCTAAGTCAGTAGTCCTCAACCTTTTTCAGCTCAAGGCTCCTCATTAGATTTGAGGCAAACCTTGGAAAGTGCCAGCTCTTACTTTTCACTTGTTTTTTCGACTATGGAAAAATATTACAGCAATTTTTCTGTTGCAAAGAACTCAGACAGAGCACAACAGGTCAGAATGTTTTTAACACTGTGGATTCCTATATGAAATCTTTGGGATTACCTTGTGAATCATGTTTATACACCTATGATTGCATGGTACCCCATAGCACCCTTGAATTACTGAGCTAAGGAATTCCTTATTTTATGTTCTGCACACGTCCCCGCCCCAACTCCCAAAAAAAAAAAAAAAAGAGTCTCCTGCATTCACCATCAACCAGAACACACAGGTAATTGTTCAGGATTTGTCAATGCACTTTTGTTACTCACAACGTTACTGAGAGAGAAGTAAGATAAGGTGCTTCCTACTCCTAGAGCAGACTGTTTGAATGCGCTAGTACAGGTGTAGGCAATGTTTTTTGGCTGGAGTGCTGAAAAAACCACAATGTCTACCTCGGAAGGTGCCGGAGTGCTGACATGCCAGAGCCTGGAGCAGCTGTTTGCAGCTTTCCAGCTGCAGCCGGCCCACAGAGCCCAGTCTGCTTGCAGCAGGGCTTGCAGCCTGGGCTCTGTCACTGGCAGCAGCTGCTTAGAGCCCGGGCTGCCGGTGGTGCCCCAAGCAAAAAGGCCTTGCGTGCCATGCTCAGCACACATGCCAGGGGTTTCTGCCCTCTGCACTAGTAGATGCAACTGGCAAAGGGAGCAAGACCAGAACAGAAAGCTTAAATTTACATCTCCAGCCTGGTACCTCACCACACAGGCTGTTCTCAGCCTACGCCTTGGTAACAAACCTCTCCTCCTACTTGGTGAGATAGGAAGGGCAGAATAGTAGGGCTGTGCAAAACAGCACCATTTTGTTTTGACTTCCGTTCTGACGGGACAGTGTTTTGTTTCAAGTTTTGAAACCACTGTCCCGTCAAAACTGTTTTGACGTTTCGCCCATAGGCTATAATGGGGAACTACAAAACTACCTATAACTTTGTCAGTTCTTGCCTGATTCACATGGAACTTGCAAGAATGGCAGCTCCTTCTGAGGCCATGAAGGCTGCCAAGTTTCAAGGAGATAGATGCAGGGATTTCTGGGAAACTGCATCTCAAATTCTTGAAAGCAAAACTTGTGTCGTGTGTGCACGCGCAGGCATGCTAGCCCCTACTGAGGCCACGAAGCCTGACAGGTTTTAAGGAGATAGGTGCCAGGGTTTCTGGGAAACTGCACCTCAGGTTGCTGAAAAGCAAAACTCGTGACACAGGTGACAGAAAGCAGGCCAGTTCAAACAATGCTGCTTTTTATGCTGTTTCTCCATCCCTCCCCCAGAGTACTGGGATTGGAAGGGATCTCATGGAAGGACCACAGTCACTGGCCACCTACACAGTTAATATGAGAGCAGTCCTTCCCCACTCTTCCCCTTCCCTCTCCTTACTTTCTGTTTCCCTGCAGGCAAGCCCTGCTTGAGTTTTGAAACTTAAAACATGTTGACTGCCCTCGGTCGGAGGCTGTTTCAAAGCCCTTTGTTTTGTTTTGATTTTGCTGTTTCAAGCTTGAAACAAGTTGAAATGAAACAGCCGGTGAAGTTTTGCACAGCCCTACAGAATAGTCACAACACTTAAGTGTGTCAAAGATCAAAGTCTTTGATTTCAGATGCCGATGGCAAAAGATCAGATGGCAAAAGGTCAGAAGCTAACACAACAAACTCTGTAATTGTAGTCTCACACTATTATTCTTTAGTTTGTAACAGTGCTGCATGCACACATCCCTATCTGTGCCTCATTTCAAATCACTTGAGCTCCCATACGAGAGAGAAACTAACCTTGAACAAATTGCAGCCCAGTCAAAGAGAGATACTATACCCATGGTGACCAAATAAAAATGAAACTACTTTACTGAAGTTGTAAAATTAAATAATGTACTATGCTCGCCCTCCTGTGACCAAACAGGACCAGTACCACCCAAGCAAAAATATAACCCCCCTTTTTATGAAACTTGAGCAAACAAAGAGAGCACAAGTGCCAACTTGTTAATTATTCATGCCTAGCTTGAAGTAATTGGCTATCCTGGCCAAGTATAACTTGGAAAGAACTTCCGCCCAAAAGCAGAGAACTGTGTATACACTTAAGAAGAACAGATCGTGCACAAATATTATCTCTCCGCCTACGTATCTTTCTGGCACACCCCCGTCTTGCCAGCCCGTTTATCTTTGTTGTTATCTTTCTTATCAAAAGCTCTCAGTAATCTGCAGACTGCAATGGCTTATGTGAATCGCTCGAAATCTGTAACAAGCAACTCTCTTACCCACCCTGTAAATGCTGGGTAACATGATATCTGCATGCTGTAACTGAATAAATCAACTCCTCTGCCTACGCTGCAAGCCATCAGTAGCGTAAGTAAAATAAACTTTCTGTGTAACAAATACGCTTTAAATCATCTGACTCCTGCCCGCCATTAACACCTGCCTGTCCAGTCATAAATCCCCCCTCGCGCCAAGCCAGTCGTGCTGACCCAGGCTCGCAGGTCAAGGGTGCACCAGACTCGAGGCGCGACAAAGTGAAGACCTCTTGTACTAAGCCAGCCCTCCCAAAGTTCGTACTGAACAAATACTTTTAAATCATAGACTAGCAAAATCTCTTCTTGATGCAAAACAAGTAAATACTATCAGACCAAATTAAAAAAAATGGGTGCCACTTATTGATCACTTCTAACTGTGCTTGTATTAGCACAGCTGTTCCCAAACTCTGACAGATTGAGTACCATCAATTTAAAAAGATACAACATTAAGTACCACCAGCAAATGTTTTGTTATATAAAGGAATTATAATACATCTGTTAATGTGTACCACTGACATACATGCAAAGGTTGTTTGCATACCACTGGTGGTACCCATACCACAGATTGGGAACCACTGCATTGGCAGAAAATACTTTGTTTCTCTGATCAAGGCTCTCTAACAGCCCACGTGCTGCAGCTGGTGCCCCTGAGAGGTTAACCTGAAGTCCCGGGCCTCCTGGTCTGGGTACTGCTCCCCTGACTACTTCAGCTGCTGCTGGAGTCTCCAGGCTCCCCTCCAACTTCAGCTGCCTGCCCCTGCTCTGGGGGTGAGGTGCAGCAATGCAGCCCATGACTAAGCAGCTTTGGGAAATGTGGGGCCCCAATGAGGAGCAGGGTCAATTACAGCATGGGGCACAAGGTGTAGTATGCAGAGCATGGTGCAGCCAGGGGAACACCAATGATGTGGCCTCTGCAGCAGGCAACAGAGGGCATATAGCCCCCCAGGTGCTCAGAAGCTGGATCACCTTGCTCTGAATAACAACAAGCATTGCTTAGTAAGGACTCATTCACCTGTTTAGACTAGTGGTGGGCAAAATGTTGGGCTGCAGGCTGGATGGG